GTGGTTACTGAAAATTCTTTGCTCCCGTGCGCCGTGGTCCTGCTGGGCACTTGCACCTGCTGCTGATGCTGGCCCCACTCGCTCCCGGCACTGGTCCCAATCGCTCAGCACCATTAGCGGGTGCAAGCAGCTGCTGCTGGCCCAATCACCCCTGAAGGCTTCTCCACCTCCCCCTGCTCCTCAGGGGCGATTGGGGCAGCAGCCACCACTTCCACCCACTGATGGCACTAGCCCCTGCTCACACCCACTGCTGGCGCCAGCCCCAATTGCTTGGCACCATCAGCAGGTGCGAGCAGGGCCAGGGCCATCAGTGTGTTGGAGTGGCAGCAGCAGGAGTGGGGCTGCCGGCAGACAGGGGACCGGGGGCCACGGCAGGAGGGGATGGGCCGGGGCACAGAGGATGGGACAAGACCTGCCCCTGTGCCCACTGCAGCCTCTCGACCCACAGTTCCTTTCAAGGTGCATGAATTCATGCACTGGGCCCCTAGTGGTTATATAAAGATACAAAAATAGAAAAAGAAAAAAATTTGCATATTTGCATATTTTTATTATTCTTAAATGAGATAGGCATATATCTAACAGGTGAGATGTCTGTAACCTTGATTGCCATACCTTGCTTAAAATATTGGGCACAAATTATTATGTCATCTATTCTTAGGAGAATAAAACAATTATTGCATGAGTGTTCCAGGAATTTCAGGCTCATTTATTTACTTTCCCTGCGATATCCATACACCTCCCTCCCACAAGCTTCCAGATTTGCTTCTAGTGTATCAATGACAATAAAGGGGAGCAGAAACCTTTTCCCAGGGGCACACTAAATATGGGACAAGGGAAATAAGGTCAAAGAGATTTTCATGGGAAAGAGCAGATGGTTTTGAATTTAGCAGTTAAAACCAAAATACTGAACCACAGATTCTTTTAACCCGATTAGAGAAGTCTTCATCAAGAAAACTTTAGTCTTACCCTGGCTGCTTTTGCTCAGTGAATAGAGTGTCAGCCTGTGGACTGAAGGGTCCTAGGTTCAATTCTGGTCAAAGGTAGTCAAGGGCATATACCTAGGTTGCAGGCTCGGTCACCCATGTGGGAGGTGACCGATTGAGGTGTCTCTCTCACCTCAATGTTTCTCTATCTCTTCCTCTCCCTTTCACTCTCTCTAAAAATCAAAGGAAAAAATATCCTCGGGTGAGGATTAACCAAAAATAAAAATAAATAAATAAATAGATAAATAAATAAATAAATAAATAAATAAATAAAATTACTGTTAAAAAAAGAATACTCTGGTCTTAAATTTAAGTAAACGGTACTCATTCTAAGACTTCTTCTAATGCATAGTTTTTCTATGATAATACACAGATTCAGAATTATAAAACAACTAGAAGCCTAGTGCATGAAATTTGTGCACAGGTAGGGTCCCTAGGCCTGGCTGGTGATCAGGGCCCATCGGGGCCTTCTGGTTGCCAGCCGGGGCCTTCCTTTATTCCACACTGTCCCCTGGTGGTCAGTGTATGTCACAGCGAGCTATCAAACTCCCGGTCTCCTAAGGGGATATTTTGCATATTAAGTATATATATGGAACATACATTTGTACACAGACTAAAAACTTAACATGTACTAGTACTTTGTTCTGTGCTTGCTTTTCTCACTTAATATTATAGACCCTTTTCCATGTCACTTCATATAATTCTTTCTCATTCTTATTAAAAAACTAGAAGCCTGGTGCACAAAATTCATGTACTCAGGGGCGTCCCTCAGCCTGGCCTGAACCCTCTTGCAGTCCGGGAGCCCTCTGGGGATGTCTCACTGATGGCTTAGGCCTGCTCGGGGAAAGCGGGCCTCGGTGCACAAAGTTCGTGCACTCAGGGGTGTCCCTCAGCCTGGCCTGAACCCTCTCGCAGTCCGGGAGCCCTCTGGGGATGTCTCACTGATGGCTTAGGCCTGCTCGGGGAAAGCGGGCCTAAGCTGGCAGTCGGACATCCATAGTGCTGCCACAGAGACGGGAGAGGCTCCTGCCACCGCCACTGCGCTCACCAGCCGTGAGCCCGGCTCAGAGCTTCTGGCTGAGTAGTGCTTCCCCTGTGGGAGCCCACTGACCACCATGGGGCAGCTCCTGCATTGAGTGTCTGCCCTCTGGTGGTCAGTGCATGTCATAGTGAGCAGTTGAGTGGCCTTAGCATATCATTAGCATATTATGCTTTGATTGGTTGAAAGGCCGACCAGACGACCAGACACTTAGCATATTAGGCTTTTATTATATAGGATTAAGTGTTCTATAACATGAATGTAAAGATGTAACAATTTACCTTTTGGTGTTTCATAGGTATTACCACATGTAGATGACATATACAACCTATATAATAAAAGAGAAACATGTAAATTGACCGTCCCTTCGCTACGCTCACCAGCCAATCAGGGCGAATATGCAAATTAACCCAACAAAGATGGTGAGTTAATTTGCATACACAGGCGCCAGGTGGAGAGCAGAAGTGGAAGAGCCAGCAGCTTGGGAGGACGTGGCTCCCTTGGTCGCTCCCTTGGGTGGATGTGGCTCCCTCAGTTGCCGGGTGGAGAGCAGAGCAGGAGAGCAGGAGGCTTGAGGGGCTGTGGCTCTCTTGGTCGCTCCCAGCGTGGGGAGCACCAGGAATCCTGGGAATAGTAGTTCTGATGGCAGCCCCAGGACCGGAAGTGGAAGCCCAGAGCGCAGTGAGCACCAGGAATCCTGGGAATTGTAGTGCTGGTGACAGACGGATCTCCTAGACACTAGAGTAAAATGAGCCTGGAGCAAGTTACTGTTGCAGTGGGGGATGGAGAGGAAAGCAAAGATGAGAGACATAAGTAAAATCACAGTGTCTAGGAAAAATTAAAGGGAAGATATCCTAAAACTTCCAGGAAATCTCCACCAATGAAGCAAAGAAAAAAAAAAGCCTCTATTATTCTGTGAGCAACAAACCAAACTGGGTTGGGGGCAAAGACAGACAGAAACTCCCGATTGGAGAGGGCTCCCCTGAGGGCTCCCAGATTGGAGAGGGTGCAGGTCGGGCTGAGGGACCCCCCCAACCCCCCCACTCCCCCCACCCCCATGCACGAATCTTTGTGCACCAGGCCCCTAGTGTATTATAACAGAGACTTGATATTATACAACCAAACCAGAATCCTTAATTTTTTCTCAGATCTTCTTCCTTCTTAGCAAAGGGTGTCAATGAAATCCCAGAAGTCACTTTGATTCAGTTGTCAGCAAGTTTTATTGACTCCACCCCCATAATGGTTTCCTAAAACCATCTCCTTCTCCCCACCCTCATCCAAGACACCATCTCTACTACCTAGATTATTGCAATAGATTCCTAACCAGAATTTGCCCCCTTAGTATCCATTCTCTGCCTATCAGCCAGAACAATCCTTAAAGAATTAAATTGTTATTTTCCCCAGTCATGTTCAGCATAGACGTCATGCTCCTTCCTCCTGCCCATCCTCATACTGCACCCTTCTTCCATGTTCATCATGCTACAGCCTCACAGGCTTCCAGTTTGTGTCTCCATAGGTTTTAGGGTCTCTATACAGCTCTCTTGTCTTCCTGAAAGTCCTTCCCCTGGACTTTTGCATGGTTGGTTCTTCTTGTACTTTTTCTCCTTATTTATTTATTGGATTAATAGTACTTTCTTATGGCGATCTTCCTAGATTTCTGAATAACTAACTATCCAGGTACTATCAAATAACTACTTATAAGTTTCTGAAGTTTTTATTTTGAGGAAGGGGTGACATCCAATATTAGTTCGAGGTACTGGATTGGAGTATGCTGCAGGGGAAAATCAAGGCTGCAGAAGAGTTTTCAATATTATCCTCGTGAGAGTGAGTTGAGGCCAAAAAAAAAAGCATCCTTTTACTGGAGAAAAGAATGTGGAAAGAACAAACTTTTTTATCTAAAGAACAGGCTTCTATGACGCATTACTTTTATGAAAGCTTGGAATTTCAGGTCTTTTCTTAGTAGGTAATAGATTAGTTTATTCATTGATATGTTGATTTATATTTCTCTGTGTACCTTGGGATTATATAATAAAAAAAGGTACAAATTTAGTTATTAAGACCGCAGGGGAAAAACAGGCATAGGGGAGTCAGCTGTATTATGGTTACATATAGCCCAAATCAATTTTGGGGATGTAGTTATCTTTGCAATTCAAAAGTCTCATTTGCAGATAATCATAGCCATGTCCCATTTTGCCCAAATTGACAGGTTATCAAATCCTTTTCAATGAGAGTCTGGGACATTGCCATAGTACAACATTTATTTTTTTAAAGTAAAGTCAGTGTGGTATATTGTTACATGAATGATTGGTCCCCAATAGCCAAACCTTCTAGTACCTAAGGTGATGATTTTTTTTGATCCTGTGATTTTCTTTAGCGAATGGGACATTAGCAAAGATGATTCAGGCAGAGGCTCTGAAAGGGAGTGTGCATTGGGGCTTATTTCATGTTGTTTTATTCTAGGGTATTTTAGTGTGCATCAATAAATAGCTGATGGCCCTAACCAATTTGGCTCAGTGGATAGAGCGTCGGCCTGCGGACTGAAGGGTCCCAGGTTCGATTCTGGTCAAGGGCATGTACCTTGGTTGCGGGCATATCCCCATTAGGGGGTATGCAGAAGGAAGCTGATCAATGTTTCTAACTCTCTATTCCTCTCCTTTCCTCTCTGTAAAAAATCCATAAAATATATTTCTTAAAAAATAAATAGCTGATGTAACTGGTATCCTACATAGTCTATTTATGGGCTTTAAAATACTTTAGATTTGAAGGTTCATACTGGAAAATTAAATGACATGCCTTCTACATGGGACCTTGGTGGCCATCTATGACTAGAGCCTCAGTTCCTTCATATATTGTTCTTTAAATGAAGTGTCTTGTTTTGGGGCCTTCAGAAGCTTGCTAAAAATTTAGAGCTCCTTACAGACATAGTAATACTAGTATTTCAATGTTATTCTTTTAAAAGTTAAACATTATTACTTGAACTCTTATTCAGAAAATTGAAACTGAGACTCTGAGTAGCAATAGGCAGATTTATGACTGGAAGAAAGGAAAAATATAATATTTCTCTGAGATTGAGATTTTTATTTACAACTTCTCTAAATTTAGAACTACATCATAAATAAGCAAGACAGCATTTACTTTAAATTAGAGAATCTATAAATCTAGAGTATGTGAACACAATGTGAAATAACTGTTTTTGGAAGAAGCGTAATTTAGATACTGTCAATAACTTTTTTCTCTTAATAAAATTTTTCTTTAAAGAGTAGCACGCATCCAGAAAAGAATACAATTATAAGGATACAGCTTGCTGAATTTTGTAATAATTAGTTTTAAAGTGTGATAAGAGTCTCTTAAGACATTTGTGTGTGTAGTTTTGATATTTTCTAAGTAACAAATAATCCAACTCAAAATAGCTCAGGAAAGCAGAACATTTACTGTTCTTGTACCAAACAGCAGAGGAATTCTTAGACATAGCTTGATATAGGACGCAAACTATGTAATTCAGGTTCGGTTTCTATCTTTCAGTTCTTAGGCAGGCTTTCTTCTTCCCCTTGCAAAGAGGCATCTAGCAGCTCCTGGGGCCACTTCCTTCATGGATAGAAGGAAAGAGAGTCTTTTGATAGCTCGCGAGGAGCAAGAATGCACCTATCCCTGAACCAATCATGAAGAGCCAGGGATAGGTATAATGATCGATTTAAGTCCAACAGAGCCCATGCATCTGGGCAGTCTCCCCCGAGCTGAGTGGCTTAGAATGGGGAAGCAGTGGTAAGTCAGGGAGCTAAAGCAGGGAAAGGGGGGAGTTAGATTTCAGGGAAGCAACAAGCAATTATTCATTACAGAGCAAAAAGTGACAATTTTACAAACCCATCTTACTGATATTCATTAACTGAGCGATATATTAATCTATAGTTCATCAATTTTCTCATATAGAAATAGAAAGTTTCCCCTGGATTAACTATGTTTTCTTTCTTAATTCAGGTGCGTAGGAAAAAGCCTTCTGATTATGTGACTAAGACATTCCAAGTTATGTTTCTACCACAAGTTAAAAATTCTAAACTTCTATAGAAATAAAAGACATAAAGTTCCAGTATATCTCCAGAAGACATGATTCTGATGGTGAAATGACATCAAAATTTTCCAATTATTTTGGAGTTCTAATTGCATGTTTTATTTTTTACAGAAAGACTATAAAAGAGATCTGGAGACTGAAATTAAAGGGAAGGGCATGCAGGTGAGCACAGACACACTTGATATCCAGAGAGCCAAGAAAGCATCCGGAATGGCCAGCCAGGTAAGAAATGAATGACATACAAAGTTTAAAAAACATATTGAATTGTTTATAGAACGAGTACAAATGGTATTTCCACGTGTTTGGCTTTGAGATTTGAACACATAAATACCTACATTGCTCTGGAAGGTTAAGCAAAGCACTGAAGATTCCTTTCTACTCTTTTAGATAGAATATAAGAAAGATCTGGAAACAGAAATCAAAGGGAAAGGAATGCAAGTGAGCATGGACGTTCTGGATATGCTGCGAGCCAAGAGGGCATCGGAAATCTATAGCCAGGTTGGTGTAGTTAAGCTGCTCAGAACAATGTATTCTAATAGCTAGTCACCATGTGTTTTGTGCATTTCTATGATTGATACCTTTTTGAGGGCACTGAATTCAAAGTCAGTGCACTCCATTGTAAAGGAACCATTGGCCAAACTTAATTAACTTCACTAATGAAAGGGACAACTGCTGCAGATTCAATTCCACAGACATTATTCACTGTCAGAGCTCCCCTGCTGGAGCCCCTGTTTTGCATTCAAGGACATTTTGACCTTTAAAAAACACACCAGAAAACTGTATTGCATACTTGGCTTTAATGTTCACTCTACAGAAACACGATTACAAATGAATTAATTGTCTTTTTCCCCATTTCATAATGAGTATTATCTTTAAAATAGCTCCAACTAAAACTAAAAGTGAGTAAAACTGCACAAAGTGTAAGGTGAAAGTGAATCTATATATATAAAAGCCTAAGCAACAGTTACAATGGAACGACCAGAATGACCAGTCACTATGATGCACATTGAGCAGGCAGGCAGGTGAGCGGTTAGGGGCAAGCAGGCAGGCAGGTGAGCAGTTAGGAGTGAGCAGGCAGGCAGGCGAGTGGTTAGGGGCTAGAGGTCCTGGATTGTGAGAGGGTGCAGGCCAAGCTGAGGAACTTTCCCTCCCCCCCACCCCCCACAAATTTTGTGCACCAGGCCTCTAATAGTGAATAAAAATTAAGAACTAAGTTTTGTTTTTGGTTTTGTTTTTTGGTAAGATGCCAAATTTATCCTCAGGAAAACTTGATATGGGTGGAATAATGACCACAAAAGAAAATATTTAATGGAAGAATTAAAATCTGATTTGAGTAAAAATTTTCATTAGTGAAATATTTCCCTGCTGTAAAATTTACATGGAAAAGAATGAATCTCAGTGGGAAATAAATAGTAAAGGGGATGAACTAAATTTGGTTAATGGGGTTTATGCTGAAAATAACGTTTAACCAAATTTTTTAAAATTCTGGTTAAAATATAAGCAAGGAGTCTAAACATCTGCTGGCTAAAAAATGTGAGAATCAAGATGGCAGAGTCAGCTGTCAAAGGAGTTGTCTGCTTCTCAGCCCTATCTGATGACAGCAGTTGGGATGGTCCTGATGTGCATGTCCATCTGTCCTCAGTGTCTCATGATGGCATGTGAACTTGGAGAAGCGCTCTAACTAAATCAGCTAAACTAATATCCTAGATCAGTGGTTCTCAACCTTCCTAATGCCGCAACCCTTTAATATAGTTCTTCATGTTGTGGTGACCCCTAATTTCATTGTTACAAATTGAACATAATTAAAGCATAGTGATTAATCACAAAAACAATATGTAATTATATATGTGTTTTCCGATGGTCTTAGGCGACCCCTGTGAAAGGGTCGTTCGACCCCCAAAGGGGTCGCGACCCACAGGTTGAGAACCACTGTCCTAGATAAATATGTAAAATAGACAAATGGCCATTTGAGTCATTGGAGAGAAGTTGCTGTCTCAGGAATACCAAGCTCATTCATTCATTCAGCAAATACTTCTGAGCACCTGTTTACATGCAAAATTAGATATGGTTTTGCTCTTTGGGAGGTACAGGTTAATTTAATAACCATGCAAGGAGAGTGTGACAAACCATGATATATGCTATGAGAAGGTAAAGGAATCATGAGTAAAGGCTTTAAGAGGAGATTATGCCTCAGCTGTCAGAATTTCTGTTTTAACTTAGCAGTGTTGATTTTTAAAAATTATTTTGGACACAATGGAATTTTAGAGGATGTAATGATGCTATGGTGCATTTCAACATGAACAAAATTACCTTTCCTAACAAGCAATAGTGTGCCATAATGGTTAACATTACTGATTTTGGAATTAGAGTGCCCGGTTTTAAATCCTAGTTCTGACACTTCTTACTTATTGACTCAGTTTCCCCATCTGTAAGAGGGAATAATAAAATAATTTTTATTTTAAGGCACTGTTACCTTAATCAAATATATCTTTTTTAAATCCTTACCCGAGGATATGTTTTTATTGACTTTTAGAGAGAAAGGAAGGGGAAAAGGAGATAGATAGATAGATAGATAGATAGATAGATAGATAGATACATAGAGACATTGATATGTGAGAGAAGCATTGACAATCAACAGGTTGTCTCCCATATATGCCCTGACCAGGGATTGAACCCAAAACCTAGGTATGTGCCTTGACTTGGAATTGAATCCATAATCTTTTGGTGTACAGGACGACACACCAGTCAACTGAGCCACCCAGCCAGGGCTCAAATGTATCTTTACTTGAAGTAGGAAGAACATAAACCTAGAAGCACAAAAACAAGAAGGTATAGAGAACTGGGTTACTTGCAGGAACTATGGGGTAACTGTGAACAGGGGTGGGACTGCTCCTAAAAGAGTAGGTTCTAAACAAAGAGTGGCTGAGAGGTCACGCCCTCCTGAGGCCTGGAATGGACAGGGGTGGGACCACTGCCTGAGCAGAGGTGAGGCTGCTCCCTGACTGCTGGCTTACTTGGTTAGCATACCCCTTATTTTTGCTGTTGCATCAACAACTGCTTTGAATCATATGATATAACTTGCAGCCATGTGGTAAAGTCGAATTTGAAGTAGTATCACTATCATTTTCTCTGTCTCTGTCTCATGTGTGCACACACACAAAGTTTCAGGTTGATATTAACTGTTTGTATTTCTAGAAAAAGTATAAAGATGAAGCAGAGAAGATGCTTTCTAACTATTCTCCTGTGGCAGATACTCCTGAAATCCAGAGAATTAAGACAACTCAACAAAACATTAGTTCAGTGAGTAGCCATTATTTCTTTTTAGTCGCCTCCTTGAAATTGTATTTTGTACGGAGGACCTTCCCTCATTGTCTCATTTATTTTTCTGCATTACTTGAATTTTCTATCTGTATTATCTTTATTTCTTTATTATGATTGTTTTAGAATTACAAATCCAAATTTTCTTCTTTAGTACAAGCTATAGTTATTTTTAACTGAATTTATTAATTTTCACTCAGAAAAAGAGGTCTTAATCTTCTATACATACCTTTACCTTGAAGATGAAAATAGTCAGATGAAGAGATTTCCTTCCCAAACTTACTAGTTTGTAACCAGTTCTTAAACTTTCATGTATTTATTTTGAGCAATAGGAATTGTATCAGCGCCATTAAGAAATCGGGGCCCTAGCTGGTGTGGCTTGGTGAATAGAGCATTGGCCTGCGGACTAAAGGGTCCCCGGTGTGATTCCGGTCAAGGGCACATGCTTGGGTTGTGGGCTCGACCCCCAGGGGGGGGTGTTCAGGAGGCAGCCGATCAATGATTCTCTCTCATCATTAATGTTTCTATCTCTCTCTTCCTCTCCCTTCCTTTCTGAAATCAATAAAAAAATATATATTTTTTTAAAAAAAGAAATTGGGTCTATGTTTAATGGATATATGAACTTGAATTATACGATATAACTTGCAGCCATGTGATAAAAACTGACCATATAGCCAGTATTTGTCTTTGTTTATTTTGTTAAACCTCACCTGAGAATTTTTTTCCATTGGTTTTTACAGAGAGTGGAATGGAAGGGGAGAGATAGAGAGAAACGTCGATGTGAGACAGACACATTAATTGGTTGCCTCCCGCATTGGTTGCAACCAGAGCCAGGGATCAAGCTGTAACCAGTATGTGCCCTTGACCAGAATCAAACCTGGGACCCTTCAGTCTGTGGGCTGATGCTCTATCTACTGAGCCAAACCGGCTAAAGCCATACAGCCAGTATTTTAATGTAGAATTTAGCTCATTTAGTAGCTAAGCAAATGTCTCATCAAAATATAAATTCTATTAAGTCTGATAACTTCTGAAATATTTTTCTACTTGCTAAAAAATTGACAAGTGCTAATGGGCAAGTGCCTCTCAGTCTTCATAGTCAGGCTGTGCTAAGCAATGGAGTCCTGTTGGAAGGCAGGGTTTGAGAAAAAAGCTGTTTTGGCTCTCAAGTCCTGTGATTTCATGGTATTCTAGATTTCTAGCTTCTGGAGAACATCTCTCATGCCACTCTCCCAACCCTGACATGTGGGTTATCACACTTCAAAAGAGGGATTCATTCTGTCCTCATGGCTTTCTTATAATTCTTCTATTTTTATTATTTTTTGTAGAGCACTTTTTTTTTTGCTTTATGTTGGAAAGGCGTAGATATTGGTGGGGGTGGAAAGACATGGGGAGTTTAATAAATAAATGGAAGATGAGGAAAATACTGAATTATGTTGATGTTGATGATAGAGTTATTTTCTTTAAAGAGAACGAGGGCATTTTTGTGTTTGGAGATTAACACCTGCTTAAAATTTCATGCTGTTTTTGAATTAGTGAACTTTTATAATGTGCACTTTGATTTTTCTCAAATTCCCATGTGGCATTTATATTTGAAGAAGGAAACTCTAGTTCTCTAACATATTCTTAGAGCAAATAATTTGTAGCCATATAAGATACCAAGCATGCCTTAGAACATGCATAAGAGGGTTACTTGTAGGATTATGGCCTATGAAACCAAAGTTGGGCATTTATTCTCATAATGGATTATTTAATTGATTAATGTGCCAATGGTACTCATAAATAGAAGCTGTAATCACATTACTCTAAGACGTGAGAAATTGTCTTTTATAAAAATCAAGTCTAGGGTTTGAATGCTAATAAGCATATAGTTATTATTTCATTCTCTTATAATAAAGGTATTTTATAAGAAAGAAGTAGGAGCTGGCACAGCAGTAAAAGATTCTCCAGAGATTGAACGAGTGAAGAAAAATCAGCAGAATATTAGTTCAGTAAGTTCTCTATGGCATTAATTATCCTTTCCAAAAGCAAATGTAAGTTAGATAAATGTTTTTCATTCTTTACTAAACTAGTTGCCTTTTTCTTTTATTCTTTACTTTGTTGACATGCTATTTCATCAAATATCAAATATCTAACTTTCAGAAGGAAAATTGTAGCCTTGTTCCCCTTGAACCTAAAGCAGTGTTTCATCTTGCTGTATCATAGAGCACAAGAGATCGATCACTTTAATAGTATAGTCATGACATCTAGGACTAGATTTTATCTTTTTAAACAGAATTTTCACTGTATTAAATTTTTTAGAGAAAGGATACATTTCAGTACCTCTCTGCAACTTGGAAGAAAGGAATTTTTCCCTGGAGAATGATTAAAGGCCTTAGAACATTTATTTGGTGTCTTAAGAGAAGGTTTCAAAGGCCCCATTGGCCTCTACCTCTTCCAGCTTCTAGCAAAGGAAAACGTACACTTTAACTATCATTTGTAAATTAACTTCCCTTCTATTTCCTTTTGAGCTAGACGGGATGGTTGGGGAGGTGCTTAATGTTATGGGTATATTAACAAAATTGCTTGACATTGACAATGGATAATTGCTATCTGTACATCAATGGGCACCCTTCCATGTATGTTTAGTTTGTTGACGAGGAAGTCTAAAGGGTTCTTTTCTTGAATCCCCATTTAGGCCTTCTCTTTACCTTCACCCTGGAGGCCAAGCCGTTCTTTAAGTAATCCAAGTGAAAATTCCTTGATTCTATTCATGTGTCAGGAACTCCAATAGTTACATGGCATTCATTTTAGAATATGAGTGTGTGCTGGCATTTGGGGAGAAGGAGCAGGAAAGGCAACTAATGCTGTAGTAAAACATACTTCAAAATGAATTTATAAGAAATCTACAGAATGCTGGTGTAATAAAATCTCTGTAGCATGAATGAAGGTATCTCCTGCAGAGAGTACAAGGAGAAGAGCCTAATGCTGAGGGTATGTGCTGTGCTCCACATGGAGGGAGCCTGTGTCAGGCAACACTCAGGTCTGGTAGGAAATTAGTTTGGCAGAAAAGTGTAAAATGTTTGTTTCCTTCACTTCCAAATGATAATATTTGAAATGTACACATCAGTGTACTGGAATATAATGTTATAAATGTTCTGTAGCGTGCAGTTCTATTGCCTACAGTGAAATGACTGTGCCATTTTGATTAGAGTCCCATGGAAAACAAAAATGTTCATCTTTAATCATGTTTAACTTCTCAGCTGAGGAAAATCACACCAAGTAGTACAGTATATCATTTGTTCTCCCAGCGTCCCACTGCCTCTGCCAGCACAATAAATGCATAGTTCTGCATCTCTGTGAGGTTGGGCCATAAACTCCTGCTTAGTATTCAAATGGAAAGTTGCCCTTTCAAGATTAGCTAGATCTGTCAAACCAAGATATGATTCTCTAACATTTAAAGATCTCGACATTTTCCACCTCCAGAGTACAAGCCTTTTAGCTATTAGCTTTCTCTAAGAACCATTTCTGAATCTTATTTAGTGGTAGCCTGTTTCAGCGTACTCTCAATTTAACTCTTTTGGATCCAGACTAATACTGGCATTATTACTCACATTAAATCCATAGACACTGCAATAGATGATATCTGAGGTATTTAGGTACCACTTTTTTTGACTCACCGCATGGATTTTAGCTTTAAACACCTTAAATGCTACCAAGTGATTTCTAAAATGTGGTGTGTTTTTTGTAGATTTAAGTCTTTGCTAAGTTTCAGTGTGTGCCTCTTTAGCCTATGTTTTCACATCTAAATATATAGTTGGGTCCTTTTTTTGAATCCAATCTTCCATGAATTTTAGACATTAAAATAACACCTGATATGATGGCATTTATAAGTTAAAGAGCTGTTTCTTGTCCCGTGCATAAATGTGTTCTGGTATTACCATTTGTTGGGTTGATGTTCCTCTAAATAGATTTGAAAGAGGAGCTTTTCAGTAAATTGTGTGCCAGGATATAGGCTGGCTTTCCATGACATGATTGTGAAGGTAGAAGACAGTTGCTGACTTTCTGCTACTGGTTTTTCTATAGTGATCAGGAAACAGTGGCCTCTGTTTTTCGAACAAGTACCTCCACCTCCCCCTTTCTCTTCTTTTATCATGGCCACATTTATTTTTTCCTTATTCTGGATTATTTGAATGCTCTCAGTCAACTAAGCAGTGTTCCCAAGATTCAGTAGCTAACTTAATTTGACATTTGCCTTTAAATATGTGGTAAATTTAACATAGTAATAAATAGAAACTGCATTTTGTATAGATAATAATACATTATTCTATTACTTCAAGTATTTTCCAAGGTTTTTTGTATATCTGCCTAATGACAAAACTTATTATCATAAACAACATTTTCTTGCTTTAATTAAAAAACTCCTACAATTATGGATAGGTGAATAGATATGGACTTATTTGTACTGTTTATAAAGGAATCCTGAAAGTATCAGATAAAATAAAAATTTTATTTTATAAAATATTCCCATTGAAGGAAAATTAATGTTGGAATTAGAAAATTTCAATTATGCAATAGTTACAAATGAAAAATTTTAAACTTTTTTAAAGCATTGTGTTGAATAACACTCACATTTTAAAAAATAAATTATGCAGGTGAAATACAAAGAAGGGATAAAGCATGCAACAGCCATTTCTGATCCTTCAGAGCTAAAGAGAGTTAAAGAAACCCAGAAGAACATCGGCAATGTGGGATCACATTTCCCTGAGTATTGTTTGCTGTTTTACTGGCTAGCACCATACATGACACTCACAAAGGTGGAGGCCCATTATGGTGAATACCATTCAGGAGGGCCAGGTCTCGAAAGGCGGAGATAGGGTCTCACACACCTTCATGGCCTCCGTGACACCTAGCCCATGCTTCATGTGCATTTGCCTATTTACAAAACACCAACATGACGTTGAATTCCTACTATATTTTTATTTTGGGGGAAATTCAAAGATGAGTAAGGCACACCCTAAAGTTAAGGCTGTGAATATTCTCAAGGTCTCTAGGAGAAACAGGCATAAAAAAGTAATGATGATGCATTAAGTGTTATAACAATAACCAATATTTATTGGGTGTTTACTCTGCTTTTTGAGTACTTTACATGCAATATCTCATTTAATAATAAGTAATAATTCCTCTTGCAAAATGATGTAGGGAAATGCAGAGAGGGAAGGCTGTGTTAGTGAGAGAGAGTAAAACTCTTGGAGAAAAGTGACATTTGAGTTAGAGCTGGAAGAATTAATCAAGGTTTGGGGTGGGTTTGCTGGGGAACGGCCTTGCTGGCAGAGCAAACTGATTCTGTTCAGAATCCAAGGCTTGTTCAAGCTGGAGGAGGCTTAGTGTGATGGGTACTTGGGGTGAAGTGTGGCACAAGATGACGGTGGGGTCTTTAAGGGGGGCTGTTGGGAGACCCACAGTGTCCCTTAAATGTGGTTCACACATAGATGCAGTTCAGTGGCTTGCTGATTATTAGGCCTTGATTTAGTGATTAAGCAGTCTTAATGTGTTCATCATAGAAACATAACACTCCCTTAAAAATAACTTTATTTGAAAAGAATAGCTAGTAAACAAACTGAAAAAAATAATATAAATCACAGTACAGATGGCATCTGGCATGACACATAGGTAAGTGGTGTGCAAATGGTGGAAATTTAGATAGCACTGGAATAGCGGGGACGAATGTGGACCCTGGACTGTTGGTTCAATCCCATCTCCAGGCCTCACTTGTTCTATAACCTTCATAAGCCACCAGGCTCTCCAAGCCTCTGTTTCCTCATCTATAACACAGGGACTAAAGTATTAAGTGAGATATTGCCTGTAAAGCACTTGGCATGTTTGCAAATGGATGAATGCAAAATATGAACAATCTCCACATCACCCTTATGTCCCCAAACCTCCATCCACCAGAAATCAGCTTCTCTAGTCTCTCCACATCAGTAATGCTGTTCTATAGATTTTCCCCTCTGAGCTCTACCCAGAGCAATGTCCGTGTATCTTGCTGCCCATAGAGATTACACTGGGCCTTGCTCCACTTTGACTCACACGGTTGTCCCAGACACGGAGTCTGCCTAACCTCTCAACGTGCACGCCGTGGCGCAGAGAAGGTCACACATTGTAGAAGGGCCTGTCCCTTTGTCGCTTATTTTCCAAACTTATCAAATGTCTCTTCACTTGCACATTCACTGCTGAGGGTGGAAACTCAAGTCCATTTTATCTGCAGGCCCTGTAGGCCTGGTAATTTCTTAGGAAAAAAAAAATCCTTTATGCTAAATTTAAACTCTAAAAGATCGCTACCACGTCCTTGCAGAGTTCCTTATAGGATTTTAACTGTGAGTTTTACTTTTGCCTGTCAAAAATTCAGTAGATGGACATACCATTTTTTCCCTCGGTGTTGGATGCTCATTTATTTTCTGGGGTGTGTGGAATTGCTGGGAAAGCTGACCGCAACTGATAGGTCTGATGCCCCGGCTAAGCAAAGGCACCTCTATGCTGCAGGCCAGGAAAGCATCCCTGCTGCTCTTCCAGAGGGCAAGCCTTCCAAGGTTGGATGTTTTCAGAGAAGAAAACTTTGAGGTTCATGGTTTCTTTATATCGTGACCGTTCACCCCTAAGGTACAAGCATAGAGCTGATATAATCCCCCTTTCTTTTGAAATATAAAGTGGTAACTTGATCAGTGTTGCTTTACTGCTATGAAGAAATAAGTTCACAGAAGGAATCATTTGCTATCACTGATAAGGTCAAATACATGATGCAATTGGAAGAGTAACAACCAAAGGTGGGATTTGAAACATTTGGACAAGAAAAAGCGTAGTCTGGGATCAATATGATGAAGCCTCTCAGCAATGCATATTTCACTTAGGATCCCGATGAAGAGTCTAACTCAGGGGTCCTCAAACTTTTTAAACAGGGGGCCAGTTCACTGTCCCTCAGACCGTTGGAGGGCCGGATTATAGTTTAAAAAAAAAACTATGAACAAATTCCTATGCACACTGCACGTATCTTATTTTGAAGTAAAAAAACAAAACGGGAACAAATACAATATTTGTATTTGCATGTGGCCCGCGGGCCGTAGTTTGAGGACCCCTGGTCTAACTAATGAATGCTCTGCAGCATGCTCATCTCCTCTGATCCTGCCAGTGGAGGGGCAGCCGTTTCCTTCCCGCAGCCTCACGCTGTCTTTCCCTGTGTTCCCAGCTCCAGTACAAAGAGCAGAGCTACAGGGCAACCCCAGTCAGCATGACACCAGAGATAGAGAGAGTGAGGCGGAACCAGGAGCAGCTGAGTACGGCAAGTTGTCTCTGTTTTCTCTTATTGTATCACATATTACACATTCTTATTCATCACAGCCCTCTCTGAAAACCTTTGAACCCTCTGCATCGTGGTGGTCCTTTTCACAGGCACACATGGGAGGGCATGAACTGGGGCCCTCCCACGGGAGTGTAGGAAATTTGGGGTTGTTTTACTATAATTTAGACATTTTTAAAAAATCTTCAATAAGCACACCAATGTGCCAGACATTATCCTGGCCACTGGTACGCAGAGATGGATAAGACCCAGTTCCTGTCCTCATGGACCTCGTGATTCAGTTGGCAGATCTCTAAAACTACATCCAGGCAAGGACTTGGGGAGTTGGGAGTCTGCTGTCAACGGAGAGAAAAATGATCGACTGGAATAGGTCAAAAGAAGACCTGGGGTCCTAAGACATACTGTCATGGCAGGAAACCTTATAAATAAAGTGGAAAAATTATTTGACCAGTCAGTAATCTATTGCTAATAAAGCAATGATAATGAACACTTATGAGGTACCTCTAATATGGACCCTGTGCTACAGGCCTTATGTGACCCCATGAAGTGGTACAGTTTATTTCTCTGGTTTGCATGAGTGGGAAATTGAGTCTGGGAGGTCAGAGAACATGCTGGGGACCCACAATTTATAAGGGCAGGGCTGAGATTTTAAACCAGGCTTCCTGGGATTTAGAAATCCTTTCAAAGGTGCTACCCTCAATAGTTATTTTTCCTGTTTCTTGACCCTCTTAATGGAACTTTTACCAATATAAATGATAGCCTTCTTCTTCCAAATAGATCATTTTAAAAGACTTTACAATTTCAGTGAGTTCTCCCAGGTGGAGGACAAAATCAGGGTGAACATTGCTTTGTTCTTATAAGCGCCTTGGAGGATGGCAGGAATGAGAGGTCTTTAGCTTCTTCCCATTTCTTTATCCTAATTTATTCATTTATCCAATAGATACTTAGTAAGCCCCTGATACATGCTCAGTATTATGCTAGCCATCAACTGTAAGAAAACAAAATCATCTTGGCTTCAAGCTCACAGATATTTCAGAATAATAAAAATAATAAAAGGAACGAGGAGGAGAGAGGGAGGAAGAGGTGGTATTAGAGAAGGCGGAGAAGGGCAGGAGGTGGGATGGAGAGAAGAAGGGAAGCATGGAGCTCCTCCGGGTGCTGCCCAGCCCCCTGTCAGCCAGGGCTGAACCCCCACAGGATGAGACCTGTGTGGGGACCAACAATCAAAGCTACGCCTGTGAGAGAGGACACTGCTTGGACAGTCTCAGCGCTGCACCTACTATACGAACTCTGGTGTTGTGTTCTGGCTGGTGTGGACCATCATCATCACCCTGAGCTGCTGCTGTGCTGGCCACCACTGCCAGCCAAGCACCCAAGCACCGCCTACCGGCCCAGCAGTGGGAACATGAAATCAACCTGATCGCCTACCAAGAAGCCCACAGTTAGCGCTGCCATTTTGTTTCATGCCTTCCAGCTCCAGCAGCAGCAGCAGCCCGTACAGAGTGGCTCTGTGGGCAGCAGTCCCCAGGCGCCAATCCCATGCCTGTACAGTGTGGCTCTGTGGGCAGCAGTCCCCAGGCGCCAATCCCACCAGGGGCCCCCAGGGTGCACAGAGCAGCCCTTTGTCTGGGCCCAGCAGAAGCAGCACGTGACCCCCCAGCATCATCGCTGACCCTGAGCCCTCCAACACAGACACGCCAGCCAACCCACAGCCACCAAAGCCCCTGGAACGGAGCCCAGTGGCTCTGTCTCTGCCCTGGGAACTGGCCCCTGGGGCCTTGCTGGACATGGATTCCCAATGTAAGGAGGAGCTGCTGAAAGATGATACCTGCGAGCAGGATGGCCCCCTTCCCAACAGCAAGGACAAGACGCCTGGCAGACATCGCCACTTCGTGGGTGACTTGGGCATTGAGGTGTGTGTGTGTGCAACAGGGGCCACCACAATGATGACCTCAAAGAGCTGAACACTCATGGCCGATGCTCTGGATGGAGCCCCGGACTTCTACCACCGCTGCCATGTGTGGCCCCTGGAGACGAGGAGGGAGGGCGCGGCCAGCCTTCCAAGGAGCAGGCCTGAGATCCTGGGCACCCTCCCCTGCCAAGGCCACCCTCATGCCTGCTCCTGAATTTCACCAATGAGCAGGACTCCCCAGACTCCCAGCGCAGCAGCTCCCCCAGCGAGAGCAGGCCCTGTCTGTACCGGAGAACTTGGCAAAGCAACCAGGGCAGGGGAGAAGCGAGAGAGAAGCATAGGTGACTTGCAGAGAAAATGGTATAGCTACTCAGTTTTTTTTTTTTCCCTTTTACCTTTTTTGGCCCCTCCACTCGCTTTTTCCTACATCTTCAGATGCCTCTCCCCTCACAGAAGCACAGTGTTGTGGAGGGCTGAGAAGTTGGTTCTGTGACTCATTCCTCATTCCCCACCATCATTTCCATTTTCCCCTTTTCAAGTCAGACAGACCTCACTAGCTGCTTAGGTCGGGGAGATGTGTGTTTCCGAAGCCCCCAAGGAAGGGGGCTTGAGACTGTGCCCTGAGGTGATGCTTAGTGAAGGAGGGGATGTTGGCTCTGGTGTTAGCGTAAGAGACCTTTGCTGTGTCTTAGCCCGGAGAGGCGGCAGGTCTCAGCCCTGGATGAAGAAGGAAGCCCGCAGAGACAGAGGTTGTCACCCCCTGCCAGTGTCTGCAGAGCTGGACTTGGGCTAGCCCTGTGGGAGGGTGAGGGCTGACGGGCAGTTGTGTGGCAGGTGGGGAGGGGCTTGTTGCATTTCCAAATTCCAGGTGACAACATCGATGCATCGCTGTGTATCCCTGAGGGGCCCTGCCCAGGAGGCTCTGGCTGGCTGCAGGCTGGTTCAGGTGCACAAGATTATACTGCCTTCTCTGTTTTTTCTGAAAGAAAAAGTGAGCTAAAACAATAACTGTACCAGTAGGCAGGCAGTAATTCTGTTTGGAAAGGGAAGTCTGTGGTTCTTACCCAAGTTGGCCTTCAAAGAGCCTGGCTGCAGTTAAGGAGGAGATGTTTTGTGTACGGGCTGGGCTGGGTGGACTCTCTCTGGAGCTTCTGTGGGTGCACAGGAGGGAGCCGCGGCAGTGGAAAGAGTGCAGCGTTCTGCATCTCTGCCCCTTGGTCTGTACCAACAGGTGGCCGGGCCTCTCCTCCATCCCAAGGACAGTCTGCGGGCCTTCATGTCGCTGTTCTGTCTGAACAAATGCAGAGGCAACCCCGTAGCCTGGCTCACACTCAGGATTTTTTTTTTTATTCTGAATAAATTTCTCTCTCTCTCTCTCTCTCTCTCTCTTTGCAGGATTTTTTTTTTATTCTGAATAAATTTGTTTTCTCTCTCTCTCTCTCTCTCTCTCTCTCTCTCTCCCCCTCCCTCTCTCTCCATCTCTCTACCTACCTCCCTCTTTTTTTCTCTTTCTCTCTCCCTCCCTCTTTCTTTTTCCCCTCCCTCCCTCCCTCCCTCCCTTCCTTCCTTCTTTCCTTTCTTTCTTTCAAACTGACCCCTTTGGGGAAAAATGCCTTGGTTATCTGTGATTTTCATGCTCCCCCTCCCTGTGAGTGGGGTAACTAATCGCTGTGGCCTATGTAAAGAGTCTGAGTGGCCTGGGCGGGGGGGTGGTGAAGGTGGCCTCCAGAAGGACCACATGATCCTGGTTACTGTAGTTTGGCTTCAGATAACCAGCTGAGCTTTGATAGGGATAGTCTGAATGAGGAAAGCAAGCAGCCGAAACTAACATTCCCTGCCCAGCCCTGTTCCTATGAAGAGGTTGGTTCTCCCCCCACTCTTGATCGATGATATTCAGACGAGGCATTGACATTATATTAAAAAGGAAGAAATATATATGTATGCAAAAATAGATAAATCTAAGGCTGTGAGGTGAATGAGTGTGTTCAGAGTCCACAAAACCAAAATCCATGTTGAACAAAATGCAGTCAGTACACAATGACTTTTTGGATAATCTATGTGTGTCTGTTTGTTGTATGAGAGACCCCAGCCCTGTTTTCCTGTGAATAGACTTTGAATGGCAGCCATCCTGCTCCCATTAAGCTCACGTTTGGAGCAAACATGGCCTCTCAAGGTCATTCACTTTACGCATGTGCTGGTTATGAACAGAGTCTGACTGTGTTCTCGGGTGTGTTCAGCAGCATTGTTGACAGTGGTCCCCAGTGTTTGCCAGAGACACTGTCCTGGGAGGAGAGGTACTCTGCCCATCATGCAATCTGCTCGTTGCTCCGTGGATACTCAGAGGCCTGTGTTCTGTTTCCTGTAAATGGAAACGTGCTCTGAACCTGTTTACCTCCTTGGGCTGCTCTTGGCCCTCGGTATCAGCCTGCTGGGGGTGTCCACCGCTACTCAGGGCAGCGGGTGAAAGTGGAACTTCAGACAGAAGCTTAACTGGATCTTTAGGGATAAGCTTGGACTAGCTGTGGCCCAGACGTCAGCCCTGCCCCGAACTGATGGGAAGTCCAGTGCATGCCAGCAGCCGGAGAGTGGCAAGGGAGTGCATCAGCGCCCGCAGATGCCTTTCCACCGTTAAAAAAATCCCAAACAACTCACTGAAGTGTCTCCAAAGAGATCAGATTTTACTAAAATGAAGGAGGCTTCAGTTAACCAATCAAGTGGATGAACTCGGGCCCTCTCAAGGTTCCTTCCCCAGTTAGAGGGGAACTGGTATGAATGTTAGGGTTTATGGCAGCATCCCACCCTAAAGACAGGAGAAGGGGATAAAGGAACCAGGGAGCTGGGCTTGATTCAGCACTCACCGTCTGGCCCCGCCACAGGAGGCTACCCTGCGTGCAGAGAGAGGGGAACGGGGAGTTGAAGGACTAGTTAGGGGCCAGGGAGATTTGGTGGAGTCTAGTACCCATCTGTCACCATACATAGTTACTACAATATTATTGATTATGTTCCCTGTGCCGTGACTATTTTTATAACTGACGGTTTGTACTTCTTAATCCCCTTTGCCTTTTCACTGGTCCCCATTCCCTCCTCTTTGGTTTTTGATTTTTGAAGATTGAAGCCCTGGGTCGGAAAGAGAGTCCTGGTCTTCCCAGGCTGCCATGTAACCTCACTATAGTTCTTAGGTAATGACTTCATTCTGATGATTCCCCCTTCTATGTCCAATACTTTTAGTCCTGGAATTTTGGCAGTTAGTTTGGATATTGAACAGCAAAATATTGATTAGAAGTTCATCTTTAAAAAGCACAACCAACACTTGTGCTTGCTAAGTCAGATGAATCAGAATCCAGTGGTAGATGTCAACATACCTACGGTGGAAAAGATGTGTGAAAAGACAGGGTTAATTTGAGGCTCCATCCTCTGTGGTGTTTGGGTGGAAACCATCATTCTACCTATTAACATTCTGATTTATCCTCCACAGGTAAAATACAAAGGAGAGATTAAACAGGCAACTGCAATTTCTGATCCACCAGAGCTGAAGAGAGTTAAAGAAAACCAGAGGAATATCAGCAATGTGTGATCCTAGCAACTTCTTTCTTATAATACCCAACGTATTGTCAGTGTGTCAATGAAGGGATGATGTTTACAAGTGTTCATGACCTGGAGTTGACATTGGCTTTGGAAAGGTTTCAGGGTCTTAGGTCTTGTGGGCATAGCCAGGCATTCTCCCTTCCAGAGTTCCCGGGGACCTGCCGTGTGACTTTTGTCTGCAGGTTATTGTGTATCCCTCTTATCTAGTCTTCCTGCTTGTGCTTGCTGTGGTTCCTCAGAGGGACTTGGTGGCAGCTTCGGGCATCATGGCCCTACCCATCAGCTTTCCCACTCCCTTTCCTTCCTGCACATGTTCTCTCTCGCCTGTTCAGCCCACTCCCAGCTATTATTACTTTATTTTTGGACGCTGTCTGGGGAGAAATTATAAAGTGTGTATGCTAAATAGGTCACCTGAGGCAGGCCCATTTAAGGGTTCTTGTAGGAGCTTTCAGTTTTTACTAAGACACTAACTCCCAGCCTGCTCCAGCTCCTTGCTGTTTATGTAATCCATGGATGCAGTTCACTGAGAGAATTCTTCTTTGAAGTCATTAACATATAGATGGAGTTCTGTGGAGGAGGAAATTTGGAAATCTATTAGGTTCAAAGAAACCTTGTATCTTTACACCTTTCAAGTTATTGGACCAGATTATAAAGCAAAGGCATCTTACTGTTTGGCACTTTTCCTGACAACTATATTTTGGGGAAGTAGATGCTCATCTTTTCCTGATATATTTAGAGTCGCACTGGATGTGACTGAGTCTATTACTCTCAGAAAGGGACGTGGTTATTGAAAAGGAGGGAAGCACACCGGCCTTTTTATGCAAGATCATGTCACAAAAGGGACGTGGTTATTGAAAAGGAGGAAGAGAGTAGTGGGAAGCACACCGGCCTTTTTATGCAAGATCATGTCACCTATTTAAAGATAACCTTTCAAAAGATCTGCCACAATTAATTACTAAGAAACCACATTGGTACCATTCTGTATGGGCAGGAGTACCTTTAAGTAATATCCATGAAGACATTTCTTATCACATTCCTTTGTGATGGAATGCGTATTACAGTGTTACTGATGGTATGCCCATATATTTGAGTACATTCACAGTGATTCAATGCTATGGAATGAATTAAAATAGATTGATTTAAGGTGCAAGCATTTAAAATATGACTAGACATCAGATAGCAACCTTTTTTCATAGTTTTCTTTTTTTGACTAGTTCTTTAAAATAAATACTATGAGACTCTGATTTAGTTGAATTGATTCACATTACACTATTTTTTTTTTTTGTTCTCTGAAATGATAGGTTTATTATAAAGGTCAGCTGGGAAGAGCTACGCCTTTAAGTGTAACTCCTGAGATGGAAAGAGTAAAGAAGAATCAAGAAAATATTAGTTCGGCAAGTGGTTTTATTCCTTTTGGACTGTCACAAAGGGTGTATCATTTATTATTTATGTGCAGTCCTGGTTTTTTTGTGTGTGTGAAAACAAAATATATTTTCAAGAAACATTTGGAATATATGCAGTAAGTACATGTGTTATTTCAGATGACTTCCAAAAGCTGCCACTGTATAAATTTACATTTATAAAATTTTAGATTGTTATTCTAGAATGAAATTAATTCACTGAACAAGTTACCTGGGAGAATAATGTAGAATGTGTTGAATATATTTCACTCACTTGGAAAACTTGAAAAAGTTATGTAATTTTTAAAGATTGTCATTGTCTTATCAAGTCTGTTCTGCTATTTACTTTGCAGGTAAAATATACCCAGGACCATAAACAGATGAAAGGTAGACCAAGTCTTATTTTAGATACACCTGGTCTGAGACATGTCAAAGAAGCGCAAAATCATATTTCAATGGTAGGGTACAACCAGGTCCTTCTTCTCACAACTAAAACACACTAAGGAGTGGCACCAGCCAGTGAGCTGACGGCGTTAGTTCACCAATAACCTGGATAACTAACAAAGCATGGAAATGCGGATGGGCCCGTGCTTTTGGGGAGACTTCTTAATCGCACTGCAATGTAATGGAAATGTTCTCTAATAAAAGGATTTTTCTCTGTGATTTTGGGGTGTGTTTTTATTTCTAACATGACTATTATAAATGCATTTTATGAAAGACATTTGACTGGAATTATTTCTAATTAATTTTAAGGCAGAGTTTGGTGTTGGCATGTTGCAAAGAAAATTAAAAAGATGTATGTATTTAAAAACAGTTTCATAAGATATGATTTATATGCCATAACGTGTACCCACTTAAAGTGTACAATTCAATGGTTTGTATAATTTACAGAGTTGAACAACCATCACCCTAATCCAATTTCAGAACCTGAAAAGTGTATATTTTGAAGTATATATGCATTTTTGTATATAATTACAAAATTAATTACAAATAATTAGGATTATTTGTAATTCTCTTAATCTAATTTTAATACTGTTTTGTTGAATAAGTGTGGAATTAGCTTATCTTTTTGTTGCATATTAAAGGTTAAGGAATAGGAAATGAATTTGTACCTAAATAAGTATATTTTAGAGAGGAACCAGGATTAAAAAACATTTCTATCTTTTAAAAATTCTTACTGATATACAGGTTTATACATACTTTAAAAGAACTGCTAACCGTAATGATGCCAAACTGTGAATATATCAGCACTTGATTTCTGATGCTTAGGAAGCTGAAGTTTCAGACCTTGTATTTGGAATGAAAAAGCGTGCATATATGCAGAAAATAAGCCAGATGTAGCTGGTGCAGTGGCAGCTGCCGTTGTGTCAAAAATGTGTGAGCTATGGAATAATAGGAAATTACAGTTGGAGTTAATATCATTTTACCTTTTTTTCAGGTCAAATATCATGAAGATTTTGAAAAGACAAAGGGGAGGGGCTTTACCCCTGTCGTGGATGACCCTGTGACAGAGCGCGTGAGGAAGAACACCCAGGTGGTCAGCGATGCCGCTTATAAAGGTGTCCACCCTCACATCGTGGAGATGGACCGGAGACCTGGCATCATTGTTGGTAAGCTGACGCTCCTTCTCAGCGGGTCACAAAGATCACGCTTGCCCAAGCTTTAGAAGTGGCCTCTTGTCCACTGGACAGCTCCTCCCATGTTTGATGTGGTGCCCAATTGAAAATGGACCAAAGTGTCATTGATGCACCACATTGAATGGGATTCATGGCATTCGCCAGGCATCGTTTCAATCCTTTCTGTAATTGGACAAATGGAAATCCCAGAGAGATTCTGATCCATTGTATGAATAGATGATATTTTTTTGAATATTGTCTCTGAACTGGGATAATGGAGAGCTGTCTGGAAGTCCCATACATCAGAGAGGAAAGAACCTTCTTTTCCTGCTGTTCCTCCCAGTCAGTCAGGGGAAGTCTTAGGGACATAGTGTTTGAAAGGGGCTGAGACAGAAAGGATCCTATGAAGTCTAAGACAGCAGTAGGCAGGAAAATTATTAAATTTTCAGTACATATCAACGACCCGTACTTCCACATGACTATTGTCTTCTTCTGAGCAGTTAGCCTCTGAATTTTTATAGCTAGTCCGATTACATTGCTCAAATAATATTTTTTTTGTAACCGTGTAACAATGCCTCTCAGCTATCTCAGTGTTAGGTTGCATCATCTTCAAATGTAAAGCTTTTTGTAGAACTACTGAGAGGCCATTTAGAGATGAGATGGGCAAGGAAACTGTGTATTTGACAGGCTCATGTCTTGGTGTAAAACGCCAATACTGAAGTCGGGCAGCAAGTTACTTGGATGGTTAAGTGACTCTGAAAGTGTTTTCCAAAGAGGGATCCCAAGCATATTTGCAGGTAGTTGATAGCTTTGCTGATCTTCCCGAGTTGGTTGCTTAAAGTGATCACATTCAATTGGATAAATAGTGAGGTTTTCATCAAAAGTATCACAGGGTTAGAGAGTTTTCTTGCTTTGTATCGACATCTCCTAAGATCAGAGCGTCTGATTCCCAGGAGGGTGACATCTGCACAGCTGACACCAGGCGCCCACCCCAGATCAGGGGCCAAGAATGAATGTGAGATTCTTGTTAAACATGAAATTGTTTAGACTTTGAGCTCTCAGAATTCAGTACTCATTACCTTTGAGATAGAAATTATTAATGTTTAAAAATATAAGATATTCAACTCTAAATTATTACCTTTCTGGGCAATCCAGAGGTCAGTTTATTTTTTTTCTAATTGGGGGAAACTGTTTTCCATTGAGGACTTGCCTATGAAACCACAAAATATATTGCATTCAACAAACATTAAACTTTCTGAACCAGGCATAGAAATACAGGTTTAGAGGTTTTCTGAGTAATTCAGACTAAGCCAATTTTTGGAGGCTTTGTTAGTTATTAGTTTCATAACCTTGGCTAAGCTAACTCAATCTCTTTGCCTCAATTTCTTCATCTATAAAATGGGAATAGTAATAATACCTACTTTACGATGTTGTGAAGCTTAAATGAGTTATGTTATAACTGAGAATAGTGCCTGGTAAGCACTATATAATATTGAAGACAGACAAACAGATCTCCAATTCCAGGTTACTAATTAATTGTTTTTACTAAAGCTCCATTTCTGCCACACATCTTTAACTAGGTTTTTATTTTCCTGTTGTTGGTACAGCACTATACAGATTATTTTAGGTCTTGATAACCATTAGGTAGAGAGACTAAAAACATGAAAGTTATTGATTTAGATTTTTTGCCCCCAACTAAAATAAGAGAATAAATTGACTGACCATAGCGGTGAACTAATCTGTGGTCCACTGAGAGCAGACAGCTCTTCCTTGTTCATCTTCCCATCCCTCCATCCTTGCTCGGTGCCTTGCTTTATTGTACTTTTCAAATAAATGTATCTTATGTGGGTTAGCTTGTGCTCTCTGGCTCACAATGAAAACTGGGCTACCACTTGCCTACATTTTAAACACTTATTTCTGTTAGAGGGAGAGAATTTTTGGTTTTGTTTTCTCAGACAAAAACCTCTCGGTCACATAAAGAATTAGTCACATGTCTTTAATCAGGAGTTTTCATTCAACATTGTACCTGTTTCAGTGTGTGGAAAGCATGAGCGATCGGAGTTCAGGGATGTGGGGAGACGCACAGAGTTGTCTGGTGTGCATGTGTGCTGGGGGAAGGCAATGAAGACAAACAGGGCAGCTTACATTTCATCCTGAAGTTTTCTTAACAAATCCTGCTGAATGGAAATTTTCTTTGTTCTCCTTTGACGTCTGCATTGCAGTATGTTTGCTTATTACATGTTCTCTCTTTACATAGGTCCCTTTCATGATTTTCTCTTGACTCTCTTTGGTGCTGACTTTTTTTTATTCATTCTTGATTTGTTGATTTTTTCCTTTTGGTAAAAGACCTCAAAGTTTGGCGCACAGATCCTGGCTCCATCTTCGACATTGACCCCCTGGAAGACAATATTCAGTCTAGAAGTCTACACATGCTCTCTGGTACTGCTTGCATTTTGAGTTCCTCCCCATTTACATGGTTTTGTCCTGAAAGTGGAGCTACTCGGAACTGTAGAAGTTCATTGTGTAATGTGCATTTTAAAGTTGAGGATTCAAAACACTAAAAAAGTGCTAGGCTGCTTTAAAATTCCACTAATCATTTATGAAAACAGAACTTGAAAAGGGCATTTTAATATATCCAAATTAGTTTGTTCTAGATTCATTTAAAAAGGCATCTAGAGCCCTAGCCAGTTTGACTCAGTGGATAGAGCATTGGCCTGTGAACCAAAGGGTCCCGGGGTTCAATTCTGATTAAGGGCATGTACCTGGTTGCAGGCTCCACCCCAGCCCGGGGCCCTGGTTGGGGCTTATATAGGAGGCAACCAATTGATGTGTTCCTCTCACATCGATGTTTCTCTCTGTCTTTCCCTCTCCTACTCTCCCTAAAAATCAATGGAAAAATATCCTTGGACGAGGATTAACCAAAAAATTGAAGGGAAAAAAAGGCATCTAAAACTTATATCTGCTTTTGATTAATAAATATTATTTTATAGGTTTTATGGGCTTTCAAATGCATTTATTAGGATTGCCCTTAACTGCCAAAATGTAAAGGATATCTGTTTCATGAAAAACACTTAAAATATTTTAAAGGTAGATTTAAAGAATCTATATATATAAAAGCGTAATATGCTAATTAGACCGGGCAGCTGAACAACTTTCTGGACGTCCTTCCGGACAACCTTCTGGATGAAGCCGAGGCTGCGAGGGCCGAGCCTCTTGCACAAATTTCATGCATTGAGCCTCTAGTCATATAAAACAGTGGGGAGGTTACCTATATAGCATCATAAATGTCTTAAAATAAACCTTCATGTATCCCTAAATTTTACTTCTGAGTTTTTATATAATGTAAAGTTTATAGTTTCCATAGGAAGTTTATTTGACTTATAACTTAGACTGCATATTTATAATTAAAAACAAAAAACCCAAATGGTTTGGATATTTGAATATAGTGATAGCATTGTTTGATATTTTGGATTTTCAGACTGTTTTTAGCAAACCAAAGCTTTGACAGTTACGCAATTATTTTAAACAATAAAAATAGACATCATATCACTTAGGTCTTGCCCTGCCCTCTGATTTTTACTTTAGATTTAATTGCTGACATTGATAAAATTGAAAGCTCAAGGCAAAATAAGAATTTTAATAGTCAATTTGATCCATATAAGCATCCAAATAGGCATTTAAATTTCTAAAAGTATAGAAAAGGCAACAAATATTGTGTGTTTGGTGACACACAATATTTTACAAATAATTAAAAACAATTATTTGTAAACAGTCATTATGTTTGATAGAAATTTATCAATTTACTCATGTTTTATTAGTGCTTGTCAATTTCCCATCTCTCATATCTCTTTTAAAATCTGGATTTAAAAATTAGTGTAAATGGTCATTAAGTCATTAATATAGTTGATACAATGTATGTTAAAGTTTGGGAGTAGGTGATTAGAATCTGTAATACTGAGCTTTTGGATTATTATTGAATAAGAGATTGCTTTTCTTCTTGTTAAACTTTTAAGTAATTTTTTGTTTCTTTTGTTTTTCAATTCACTTAATCACAAGTATGAATATTTTCCCTCCAATATAGAAAAGGCAAGTCAATATAGGAGACAGCGGTCTCGATCTCATTCGAGCAGTACATTTGGTACAGTTCTTGGAGATGACAAGTCAGAAATATCCGAGATTTACCCTAGCTTTTCATGCAGCAGTGAGGTGACAAGACCGTCTGATGAAGGAGGTATCAAGCATTAACCATTCTCAAAAAAAATTAATTCATTTTTAAAAATGTGTCACAGTGTGCTTTTAACATTCTTCACCTTTGCATAAGCATTTAGCCTGGGTGTATTTGAAAATTTTAAGTTATGTTTAGAAAGTTGAGCCCTGTTTTTCTTTAAACTACTAATTTGCATTTTTGCATGTTTGTTTTTCCCTTCTTCCTTTACTATTTTCACTGCAAATGGATCTTTGATGACAAAAGGGTTTTATGTGATGGATATACACAGCCAGAGTGGAAACTTGAGTTCTGCAAAATTTATATCGTGTTTCCATTGAGAAAAACCATTCTTATAGTTACATTGGAGTGGCTAAGTGGTTGCTAGGTCTTGCCAAAAAGAAGTTGGGTATGACATTTGGGATATGAGGGTTGTTGTTTTTTTTAAGAAAAATACTGTTGATTGTTCCTCTACCTGTTCCTGTACCTTTTCCTGTTTTTTTACATCCAAACTGGTGGATTAGGTCTAAAACTCTTAGTTGAAATTGTTTTGGATGTTAAACTAATACTGCTGATAAAGCTGTTATTAAAGATTTATTTATTTGTGTTTTTGTTTTGCTGAGAACATTTACTTTCTACTGTCAACAAATTTTTTTTTGGAAAAAGATATGGTATTTTTGTGTCATATTGTATATCATACTTCCTTTAAAATTATTTTGTTGTGATAAAATATATATAACATGGACTATGCCATTTTAGCTATTTTAAGTATATAATTCAGCAGCATTGATTATATGTATAATATTGTGCATCCATCAGTAGTATTTTTAAAACGTTTTAATTACCCATCATACTTTTTTTTGTTTGTTTCCTTAAATGGCCTATTTCTCACTCTGTAGGTGCTCTCCTGTGTTCATATCCTGGGATTAAGCAAAGCATGGGCCTGAATTACTTTTTTTATTGTAGACTTAGACTCCCATGTTCTTTCTGTTCTTTAGATTCCAGAGTTGTTTTTCAATTGAATTTATTGGGGTGACATTGGTTAATAAAAGTAGCTAGATTATTTCAGGTGCACAATTCTATAACACATCATCTGTATATTGTATTTTGTGTTCACCACCCAAGTCATGTTTCTTTTCACCACCATTTATCCCCTCCTTTACCCTCTCCTGCCTCCCCTACCCCCATTTCCCTCTGGTCATGACCATAACGTTTCTATATTGTTTGGTAGTTTATTTTGTTCACTAGATTCCAACTTTAAGTGAAATCATTGGTATTTGTCTTTCTCTGACTGGTTTATTTACTTAGCCTAATGCTCTCCAGGTCCATCCATGCTGTCGCAAAAGGTAAGATTTCTCTCTCTCTCTCTCTCTCTCTCTCTCTCTCTCTCTCTCTCTCTCTTTATGGCTGAGTAATATTCCATTGTGTAAATGTACCACTTTTGTTTTTTATCCACTCATCTACTGATAGGCACTTGGGCTGCTTCCAAATTATGGCTATTGTAAATAACATAGCAATGAACCCAGCATATATTCTTTTGAATTAGTGTTTTGAGTTATTTTGAATAAATTCCAAGAAGTGGAATTGCTGGGTATAAGGCAATTCCATTTTTAATTTTTTGGGGTAACTCCATACTGCTTTCCAGTCTGCACCAATATTCATTCCCATCAACAGTGCACAAGGGTTCTCTTTTCTCCATATCCTCACCAACACTTGTTTGTTGATTTATTGATGATAGTCATTCTGGCAGGTGTCAGATGACACCTCATTGTGGTTTTAATTTGCATATCTCTGATGATTAGTGACATTGACCATCTTTTTATATGTCTGTTGGCCATCTGTAAGTCCTCTTTTGAGAAGTATCTATTCAGGTCCTTTGTCCATTTTTTAATTGGATTGTTTGTTTTTTTGGTGTTGAGTTTTATAAGTTCTTTATAAATTTTGAATATTAAATTATTATATATATCATTGCCAAATACGTTCTCCCATTCAGTGGGTTGTCTTTTCATTTTGGTGATGGTTTCCTTTGCTGTGCAAAAACTTTTGAGTTTGGTATAGTCCCATTTGTTTATTTTTCTTTTGTTTTCCTTACCCAAGGAGATATAGCATACAAAATATTGCTATGAGAAATGTCTGAGATTTTACTGCTAGTATTTTCTTCTAAGAATTTTATAGTGTTGAGTCTAACATTTAAATCTTTAATCCATTTTGAGTTTATTCTTGTGTGTGGTGTAGCAAGTAGCAAGGTGGTCCAGTTTCTTTTTTTTCTTTTTCGCATATATCTGTCCAATTTCCCCAACAACATTTATTATAAAACTTACCCTATCATATGTTCTTGCCTCCTTTGACAAATATTCATTGACCATAAAGGCATGGGCTCTCTATTCTGTTCCATTTATCTATATGTCTGCTTTTATGCTGCTTTGATTATTATGGCCTTGCACTATATTTTGATATCAAGTAGCATGATTCCTCCAATTTTGTTCTTCTTTCTCAATATGCTGTGGCTATTCAGAGTCTTTTGTGGTTCTATATAAATTTTTGGAATATTTATTCTAGTTTTTTTAAAGAAGCCATTGGTATGTTGATAGCAATTACATTGAATCTATAGATTACTTTGGGAAGTATGGAAATTTTAATGATGTTAATTCTTCCTATCCATGGACATGGTATAAGCTTCCACTTATTTATATCTTCTTCAATTTCTTTCTTCAGTGTTTTGTAATTTTCCGAGTATAGGTTTTTTTACATTCTTGGTTAAATTTATTTCAAGGTATTTTTTTAATGCAATTGTAAATGGGATTGTTTTCTGAGTTTCCCTTTTAGATAGTTCATTATTGATGTATAGAAATGCAACTGATTTCTGGATATTTATTTTGTATCCTACTACTTTATTGAATTCATTTATTAGTTGTAGTGGTTTTTTGGTGGCGTGTTTAGGGTTCTCTCTATATAGTATCATGTCATCTGCAAATAATGATAGTTTTACTTCTCCCTTTCCAGTTTGGATTCCTTTTATTTCTTCTTTTTGTCTGATTGCTATGGCTAGGACCTCCAGTACTATGTTGCATAAGAGTGTTGAAAGCATACATCCCTGCCTTGTTCCTGATAGTAAGGGAAATACTTTTAGTTTTCTCCATTGAGTATGATGTTGGTTATGGATTTATATATGGCCTTTATTATATTGAGGTATGTTTCCTCTATTTCCTCTTTGCTGAGAGTTTTTATCATAAATGGATTTTATCAAGTTCTTTTTATGCATCAACAGATATGATCATATGATTTTTATCCCTTATTTTATTTATGTGGTGTATCATGTTTATTGATTTGTGGATAGTGTGCCAACCTTGCATCCTTGGAATAAATTTACCTGGTCATGGTGTATGATCTTTTTAACGTATTACTGGATTTGGTTTGCTAATATATTGTTGAGGATGTTAGCACTAGGTTCATCAGGGATATTGGCCTATAATTTTCTTTCTTTATAGTTCCTTATCTAGTTTTGGAATTAGGATAATGCTGGCCTCATAAAATGAGCTTGGGAGTCTTCCCTCCTCTTGAATTTTTGGGAATAGTTTGAGAACGGTAGGTGTTAGATCTTTGAATGTTTGGTAAAATTCACCTGTGAAGCCATCCAGTCAGGACTTTTGTTTGCTGGGAGTTCTTTTAGTATTGCTTCAATTTCACTAGATATAATCTATCCATTGAGATTTTTCTGATTCTTCCTGATTCAGTTTTGGAAGATTATATGTTTCTAGAAAGTTATAGATGTCCTCCTATTTGTCTAATCATTAGCATATAGTTGTTTATAATATTTTCTTACAACCCTTTGATTTTTTCCTTGATCTAATTGTTAACCCATTCATTGTTTAGTAACATGTTATGTAGTCTCCATGTCTTTGTGTGTTTTTCAGTTTTTTCTTGTGATTGATTTCTAGTTTTATACTATCATGGTCAGAGAAGATCCTTGATATGATTTCAATCTTCTTAGATTTACTGAGACTTGTTTTGTGTCCTAACATGTGGTCTATCCTAGAAAATGTACCATGTGCACTTGAAAAGAATGTATACTCTGCTGCTTTGGGGTGAAATGCTCTGAAGATATCAATTAAATTAATTTGATCTAGTGCATTATTTAAAGCTTGCTACGCACTATTTTTTTTACATTCTGTTCAGATGTCACTTTATCAGAGAGATCCTCTCTACCAGAGATAAAATAGCACCCCTTCTTGCGCTGTCTGTCCCTTTACCTTGCTTTTTTTTTCATTAGCCCTTGACACCACCTATCTCTTTCTTACTAGAATGAAGCCCTACAGGAGCAGGGATGTTAGCTGATCTATTTCCAGTTCTTTGAATAAGCATTCAGCAAATATTTGGTGAATGAATGAAATGGCCAGAGTAAATTATTTTCTGATTATTCTTTTCTTAAAATAATTTTATTGATTTCAGAGAGGAAGGGAGAAGGAGAGAGAGATAAAAACATCAATGAGAGAGAATCATTGATCGGCTGCCTCCCACACACCCAACAGTGGGGATTGAGCTTGCAACCTGGGCATGTGCCCTGACTGGTAATTGAACTGTGACCTCCTGGTTCATAGGTCGATGCTCAACCACTGAGTCACACCAGCTGACTGTTCATTCTTTTTTTAAATTGAGATACAATTGACATATAACATTGTATTTTAGGTATACAATAAATTAATAGTTTAAATATTAAAATTACATATATAAACCTAACTATGATTTTTTTAAAATAAAATTCTATCATGTAAAGCTTTCAAGAAAATTCTTTCATTTTTGTTTTGATGATGTTTTGATATGTTTAAATAAGCTTAAAGCATAGTGAAAACATTCCCAGGGTTGTTTTTTTGTTTTGTTTTGTTTTTTTCCCGGTGGGGAAGGAAAAGAGTTAAATCCATGACTTCAGTTGCTTTGACATTAGGGTCCCCTTTGAAATGTGCCCTCTGCCGGGCCCTGGTGAGGAAGTGCTGATTGACTCTGTAGAAGTGCGAAGCGGTTATGGTCCT